GGTGTAAGTTTGGACCCAATCGGACCAGTAGATTTCAAGAAATCTCAAAAATAAAAATTTTGAAAAATCGTCCAAACGACTTGACCGATCGACACCAAAAACTAATCAGTTCTAAACCTTGAAGAAACACATCGTTTGCCGCAAACCGGGTCGAAATCGGTTGATTTACTTGCTAGATATCGAAAACGAAAAATTTCGAAGAGCTCAAAAGCAGTGAAAAAAGCGAAATTTGAACGTTAGCGTATGAAATTAGAGGGAAGTTGCAGGGATGGCCCTTGAGGCCAACCGTTTTCCACATTTTTTTAAATTATATTACTCTTATTGAAAAACCCTGTATTAACTTGCCACAAACTAATAAAATGCTCCCAGGTTTCTTTCAGATACCTCACATACCATCACCAATCATATGAAGTAAGGTCAGTCGGCTGTTCGAAAATCCTGATATTAGTTTTGGTCAGGCTTTCGCCCAATTTTATCTATTTTAGGCACAAACATACACTGCTATGAGTAAAACACGCTTTCTTATTTTCTTTGAGATAACTAATATATCGGCCAATATATGTGGTATAGCACCCGAAAATAACAAATTTGATTGTAATCCATTTACGATTTCGTGGAATAATGAGTCTTAAATTGTTTGGGTGTACTTGAGAGCACATTTTTAAGCAATTTTATTAATATAATATATAACTCATTGAACAACATGTTCAGCATAACGTTTGTTAGAATAACGAAAATCAATATATGTAGTATTTGGGAGTTAGAGTCATTCGTAGACTAAATTCACATATTTTCGGCATTAACCTATAGTAGATCCAATATTATACGTGCACATAATTTTGCTAAGATATCTTACATACGTTTTCACCCGATTTTACTCATTTTAGACACAAAGATGCACCATTATAAGAAAAATATAATATTTAATTAATTTTATTAAAACAGCTCACATATTGGCTGATATATGCGATATAAAGTAAACCGGAAGTTCGAAATCTCATAGATTAATCGTTATTTCCGGTATAAGGTTAGCACCAGGCACTGGGGTCCCCGTATTCGGTAACTGAGGGCGTGAACAGTCATTGTTCGATTTTGACAATTTTTAGACTTGACATGGTATACCCCAAAAGCCCTCTTTGTGCAAAGTTTTGTCCCGACACATGTATTCTTCAGTGCTTGATTTTTATACTGGAAAGTGTAAGTATCATATGGTATTTAAAATTGTGCTTTATAAGTAAGCGTGGTTGTAGTCCGATTTCGCACTGTAATATGGGAATGTTAAAATAGTCCTATGTGTCAAATTTATAGAAATTAGTTGAGTAGTTTCGGAGATATGTGATTTCACGTAAATGTGGGCGGTCCACGCCCATTCTCCAATTCTGACAACGGCTTCTATAAAATCCCCTTGCACCATTTCGAATGTAAAATTTAATGTCTCAGACGCATGTAGTTATTGACTTATTTTANAAGCTTTAAGAGAGATGGTTTATTGCCTGACTGCCTATATGACTTCAAATAACCCCACAAGAAGTAATCTAATGGTGTTAAATCACATATTTTTAGAAGCCATTCAATGTCACAATTTCTTAAAATGATCAAATTTCCAAACTTTTCTCGCAATAATTCGGTTGTTGCACGTGCTGTGTAGCACTTAGTTCCGTCTTATTGGAACCGGATGTTGTCAAGCAACTACTTCCAATTTCGTCCATAAAAAATTGGTTATCATTGATGTATGCCGCTCTTAATTCACAGTAACGGTGTCACCAGCTTTATTTCGAAAGAAGAACGAACCGATGATTCCACCAGACCAAACACCACACCAAACTGTCAATTTAAGTGAATGTAATGGTTGTTCATGACATCGACAGTTTTCTTTATTTACCGCAGCGCTCAGATGAAAATGAGCCTCATCGGAGATGGCAAAAGCGCACGAAAAGTTGCAATTGGAGAACGATTATTTTGATAATTAAATTTAATAATTTGTAAACGTTGTTCTTGCGTATATCTTTCAATTATGAAATTGCAAACATGGCTGAGTACAATAAAATATAATTACAGGTCATGACATGTTAAAAATGGCCGAAACGGCACTTAGAAATCATATCATCCAAACAGATAACATCAGGTCAATACTACCCCCACTCCCATATACTGCATACATTGTATAATAATTTTCGTTTCACTAACAAGTTTTATGCCAAATACAATATGTCGTTCAATACCCCCAGTATAATGACTTCCGTTTTTTCATCTGACTTTAAACCGTTCAGGTTGGTCAGAATGTGATATTTATATGAAATTAAATGGACAAGTTTTTTTAAAAATTGTGTGTGAATATTAAACAAATAGGTCTAGACTTTGGTCTAAACCTTATATCTTTACAATAATGAATTGCGATCGCGCTAGTTGACGTTTTCACAGCAACTCATTATATTAAATTTAGCTTCTTCAGTTGAGTTTATATCCCATATATCTCATTACAAAATGAAAAAAAGTAAAATATAGTAAAAAAACTAAGTGAGTCTCTGACCTATAATATAACTTAATAAAATAACAAATTTGATTGTAATCCATTTA